TAGCTTAATGTCTATTAATAGATTATATTTAAAGATTTTGATTACGTTTTTGAATACGGTTGCTTCGAATCCTTCTATTAGTTGTTTTTTGGGTAAGGCTTCGACATCATTGACAAAGGATTTGGGTTATTTCAACGGTGGTTTGATTTTAGATCGAATGTTTGAATATGTTTATCGTAGTCATATATTTTAAGTTCAAATTTTATATGTGGGTATTGCTCGATCAATCACCAAAAATATATAAATAAATGATAAGAAAAAACATGTACTCCTTTATGTATTTTATTTCTTGCAAAATATTTCAAAAGTCCACTCTCTCTCTCTTTCATATATATATATATATATATATATATATATATAGGGATGTTATTCTACACCCTTTGCCATTCCTACACTCTATACAACTCTCATCTCAACCATTCAATTTTTAATCAATTAATTGTTTCCTAATATAAAGTATTAATCATAATTAATAAACTCTATTCATATTCCATAAATATTCAAATCATAATAAATTAACTCCAATCATTTCTATAAATATCTCAATTAATTGGGTTGCAAAGGTTGTACAAATGCACAAGGTTGTAAAAGAAATATACTCCATATATATATATATATATATATATATATATATAGAGAGAGAGAGAGAGAGAGAGAGGAGCGTTCAAATAAAAACTTGCCACATTTGTGTAAACTGTGTAAACCAATCTTATCCATCCATTTTATTGATCAATGACTAAGATTAGTTTACTTTATTTTAGGAAATTAAAAAATAAAAAAAATAAAAAATTTATTTTATTTCAATACTAAGGGCAAAATTGGTAAACAAAAGTAAACCATTTTATAATGAAACATTTTCATATTGAAACAGTTTCATGAACATTAATTTCATAAAGAACAAAAAATAATATACATCCGTTTCATCATACATTTATTTCATAAAGAACAAAATACATTATGYACCCATTTCATTTTCATCCTACCAACTAAACGGATCAACTTCAATCACAAAGCAACATGGATCACCATGAAACTAGATCATGAATCATGAATCAATTAGAGCATCAACATTTTCACCATCATGAACCTATTTCACTAACATGAAACCTTTTCATCATGAATATTAATATATTATGCACCCGTTTCATCATAATGAAACATTTTCATATGAACATTAATATATCATGCACCGGTTTCATCCTACCAATTAAACGGATCAACTTCACACAAAAAAAAAACATAGATCACCATGAAACTAGATGTACATTAAATCACAAAGCAACATGGATCACCATGAAACTTCAATCACAAAGCACCTATTTCATTAAAATGTAAAATATGCATAGACATAGCAAATATACCATTGTACAATGAAACAGTTTCATGACCATTGATTTTTTTTTTCTTCCAACCTCAAATCAAGAATTCATTCCATAACAAGTTAGAATCTTCATAAAACTTTTCAGATTCATTGAATAACAAAAAAAAATCAATTTTTAATATTATAATATTTTAAAATCTTTAAATCTTACCATTTATATAATTTCCATTATTAAATTTCCTTATTTAATATTCCTTAATAACTTCCTTATTTATCAAAAAAATAATGAAAATGACCGAAATACTCTTATTGATTAAATTTAATTAAAAAATAATAAAAATTTTCTATTGGTCGATTTTGGTTTACACGGTTTCTTAGAAAAAAGATAGTCTCATTTGAACCTGCCCCTATATATATATATATATATATATATATTGTATTTACGTAATATTAGTCTGCTTTCGTGAGAACTATGAAAACATATTTTTTGAAACTTCACAGCAAAATATTACGAAAGTAAAAAAAATTTGAACCTACAGCAAAAACATTATGGTTATCTTTACAATGTTTTACTATGAAGTTTCAAGTGTAAAAAGATAGTCTCATAAAAACAAACCGATCACACATAATCTCAATATATATATATATATATGTATATATATATATATGTATATATATATATGTATGTATGTGTGTGTATGGGGGATGAATTAGTCATAAGATTGAATGGGTCAATGAGCGTATGAAGTGGGTTACATGTGATGTAGGAAAAGTTGGCCTTTAATTTTCACTTGATGTCGTAATTTGAAACGTCAATGGTTAGAGTTTTTCTTTGCAAATGTCTTGAGGATCTATGTTATATATGTAGGGTCGTTTAAAAATCCGATCAAATTGTCAATCCGTACGTCCAACTCAATTCACAAATAATCTAATCAAACTCGTTTTGTAACCCATCAAATCAAACATGCAAAGATTTGGATTAGGTTATATTTTTTAACGAGTTGGTTTGAGTTGAGATTTCTTCAAACCGATGTATTTGATTTGAATTGTTTAAATAGTGTAAATCGTTCAACCCAATCAATATGGTAGTGTTTTGTATGCAAATATGATTGGATTTTGCATGATATGATAGAACTGGACATGACAAAAGGACTGGATGAGATAGACATGACGGAAAAGTGTTTGTCTAGTGTTTGGTACGACTAAGATTTAACATGACATAACTAGACAAATTGGCTCCGAAAATTATATAATGATTTCATATATATATCAAACAAGAGTCGATTAGTAATATTTTAGATTTTATCTCATTCTTGTCTGCACCAAACGTGGGATAATAAGTTTTTATCTATTATATGTCGTATCAAATATGAGACAGTGAATTATGTCTCGTCGTGTGTTTGTCTCATGCACCAAACATAGCCATACGTTTCTCTGTATATGTACTTTTGTATCTATATATGTACAAATCCGTGTTGTATATCCATGGCCATAAGTTTTTATAAAATTAAATGCACAATAAATATAATCATTCATTTCTTATTATGTGCAAATCGTACATCCATAACAATAAGTTTTAATAAAATTAAATGCATAATAAATACAATAATTAATTATAGTTATCTGTAAAATAAAATAAAGATCGGAAGTTATATATTTTGATACATCCATAACCACAAGTTTTCTTGAAATTAAAATGCATAATTAATAATTAATTATGCATTTTAATTTCAAGAAAACTTGTGGTTATGGATGTATCAAAATATATAACTTCCTCTTTATTTTATTTTACAGATAACTATAATTAATTATTGTATTTATTATGCATTTAATTTTATTAAAACTTATTGTTATGGATGTAAATTAATATTATTTTTGAAAAATATAAATTTAAAAAGCATTCTTTTAAAATTATGGTTCAACCAGCGTTATGTGAATATTACATATTAGAAAATGATAATTTCTTAAATCCTTAAATATTTCTTTTTTTTTTCAAAATATATTTTTTAAATAATATATATATATATATATATATATATATGTATGTATATAGGGGGTTAGATTGCAAACCGTCTATTTCATACAAACTATAAAAATCAATTTCAACCAATAGAAAATTTTCATATTTTATTCTTCATTTGTAATGAATAAGGGTATAAATGTTATTTTACTTTGTAATGATTAATCTTGGTAATGTTTTAATTGTTTTTAAATATGAAAAACTAAATATAGTAATTGTTTTTATGGGAGCTGTAAATCAATTTATTTTAATATATGATTATTATCATTAGTAGGTTATATTCTTTTATTAAATTATACTCTTAAAATATGAATTGTAAAACCATACTCCTAAAATCAGTTTGATTACAAATAATTAACAGTTTAATCTTGTTTCAAATTTCAATAACTATAAATGAAATAGTTTCATATATGGTTCACAATACCATGTCAAATGGTCCATCTTTCATTCAAGGTTACAAAGAGTTTCATGAATTCATTCAAGAAACAGTGAAACAGTTTCATATATTGTTTTGTTTTCATTCGTAAAACAAATGTCATTAATGAAACCACGTTATACAGTTTTCAAAATGTTTCAAAAATGAAACTAATTTCATTTTGGTTATGAACCATGAAACTACTTTTATTAATGAAATAATAGTATTCAGGTCTTGAAATGTTTCATTGACTAAACCATATTTGGTTTCATTAATAAAACCAATTTCATCTTGGCTATAAACTATGAAACCGATTCCATTTTGGTTAGTAAACATGAAACAAATTTAAAAATGAATGAAATATTATTATTCAGTTCTTGAAGTGTTTCATTGATTGAACAATATTTAGTTTCATATGTAAAACCGAGTTCATCTTGGTTAGAAACCATGAAACCGATTCCATTTTGGTTAGGAAACATTTCAACAATTTTCACTGCTGAAACAATGTTATTCAGTTTTTGGAATTGTGGAGTCCATGAAACCAATTTCAATAATGAAACTAATTTCATTAACAAAAACATGTTATTTAGATTTTTGAAAAATGTTCCATTGACTGAACTATATTTGACTCAAATTTCATTATATAGACGAACAATGAAACAATTTTTTACTAACAAAAAAAATGAGATATAGTTTTCAAAATGTTTTTATTGATGTAATCAATTTCCAAAAATGAGACGAACAATGGTTTGCCAATTTTGCCCTTTTTTGATTAAATATTAAACATTTTATTTTATTTTTTATTTTCCTAATATAACACATTTTATCATGATCATTGATCAAAAAAATAGATTAATGAGATTGGTTTATAGGATTTACACAAAATAGATGGTTTGTATTTCATCGCTCCTCTTTCTGTATATAAAAGTACGTTCCTGTGGCACGATGAGAAATTGAATTTTTAAATAATATATATTTTTATTATTTATAAAAATAATATCTCATATCTTTTTTACATTCTACCAACCAAATACATACAAAATCAAACAACTCAATATGATAAAATGAAGCAGAAAAAGTCAATATTCAAAGTCAACTCTTTTGAAACAAGGTTCCCTACAGCTTTGTCTTTGAAAAACATGAACCAACTCGCCACGCAATTCTTCATCATTAGTCAAATCCCCACACTATATACCAATCTGTGTATATATATATACACACACACAACTTCTATTCCGCCTTCATCTTGATCAAACCCACCTGGCTCCACCCTAAAACCCTAATTTCTCAGTGGTGCACCCGAGCCAGAATCATGTCGGACGGTCAAGACGATGAAGATTCGCAATTTTTCCCTCGTGGGTCTTCGCCGGATCTCAACAGTAGGATCTTGCTTACTGCCATTATATCGTTGTCGGTCGTGGTGGTGGTTGTCACCATGTTACATGTATATGCACGGTGCATACTCCGCCGCCAAGCCCGCCGTCGATCCGCCATTCGAGACATCGGGCTCATAGCTCGTATCCACTCCGACGAGCAACCAAAAAGGGGTCTTGAATCATCGGTTATAACGTCCCTTCCTATACTCGTCTTTAAGGGCATTGATCACCACGGACGTCCGGACGATGCAGGGGTCAGCCAAGAATGTGCAGTTTGTTTAAGCATGTTTGAAGATGGTCACATGATTAGGGTTTTACCGAATTGCAAACACCACTTTCATGCCGAGTGTATCGACAAATGGTTAGGCTCACAGTCGACCTGTCCTATCTGTCGTCATGAGGTGGAGCCAGGTCCCACCATTTTACCCTTGCCTCGTGAGCCTGGTACTGGGCTAGGGTCGGTAAGGTGGGACCCACCTTCGGCTCCGCCAATTCAACATACAGGTTCTATATCAATAGCGGTGGAAGGGACTTCGGATGATCAAATGGTACAATCGTCGGAAAAAGCAAGTGGAACGAACTCGAGATTGAGTTCTTTTCGAAGGATGCTTAGTTGGGAGCGTTCTTCACAACATATTCGTTCGCGTACAGAAGACGATGGAATTGAAGATCTCGAAAGATGAATCGACCAATATTATTACAACATTCATTGTATGTAACACTATACTTTTTGGTTCAAACTTCGTTAAATCTTTGTGTTAATATTACGACAAATCAATCATCCCGGTTGCCGGAAAACTTAAATATCGAGAAGTTTCTTTAAGATATTATTACAGTACGTGAATTTTCTCATGCTCCGGTCGCCGGAAAACTTAAATATCGTGAAGTTTGTTTAAGATATGGTTACAGTAGGAGAGATTACTCAGGCTCCGGTCGTCGGAAAACTTAAATGTCGTGAAGTTTGTTTAAAATATGGTTACAGCAGGTGAGATTAGTTGCCGTTTGATTTGGTAACATATACAAGGACGGCAGTCGGCAGGTAGACCCATGTGAGCCATTGACCTTAACCATGGTTTATGGAATTACCTTATGTGTTTTTAAGCCCTCGGACTTTTAGGAATTACATTTCAGTCCCTTCAATTCATGAAACATGAAACTTAAAACATAAAACATCTTAAATGTGATTGCTGATAAGGAGTGTTTTTAGTCCGGTTTGGACGGTTTAACTCTAAACCATAAATTAAGCAGAAAGGCGGTTTAAGTTTTTTTTTTCCTTCAAACTAAGCAGTTTTGACAATCATAAAAAGACTGTTTGGTCTGATTGGTTTAAAAAGTTTGGACCTATTATGAGTTTTAAACTAAAAATATATAAAATCTATGTCCAAAATGAAATCTCCAAATATAACATTATTATAAAAAATACTATACGGAACAATAAAAGAAACAACTATCTAGAATATTTAAAAAACCATGCATTGAGTAAGTCGAAAAAGATTAAACAAGTCTGACCAACAATATTTGGAATTTGAACGAACATTGAGCAAGTCGAAAAACGATTTGGAGCTTTGGATTTTGATTTTTGATGGATTTCGGAATTTTTCTGATTTAGGTAGCACGGGCAATTGAGAAGTGAAGACTAAAAACTTAGGGGCCGTTAACCAAACATTTACCCGGTAAGTGTTTAAAGTTGATATTCAACGGTCAACACTAGTGATGGCCAAACCGGCCTTGCCCCGGCTCGGGACCGCCAGAGGATCGGGACTGGGACCAGCCAAGGACCAGCCCGGCACGGGACCGGTAAGGACTAGTTATAGGACCGAAATCTGGGACCGGTTATGGACTGGCCCGGCCCGATTTTTAAAAAATGTAGCTATTTTTTTTAAAATGTAGCTATTATTTTTCAAAAAACAAGCCCTTTTTTGGACCTTTTTTGTATTTTTTTGCTTTCTAAACACTATATATAAGTGTTTTGGTTGAGATAATTTACATACCAAATTCTCGATTCGCAAAAAACGCTAAAAACCGTTCACAATTATAGGTTTCTCGCTATATTTTGTAAGACAATGTAATTTTAATTATAATAAAACGCATTTTTGAAATGTTTTTGAGTCACCAATCATAAATTTTATAATGTATTAAAAATATATATCATTAAAAAAATATTTTTTAATGACCGGGACTGGCGGTCCATAACCGGTTACAATAAAGTTTGACCAGGCTCAACTTTTTCGATCGGAACTGGGACCGGTTATGGCCGGTTATGAGAAATCTTGGGACCGGTTTTTGGCCATCAGTAGAGAACACTAACAATTTACTTACCACGTAAAATTTTGGTCCATCAAAATGGTAATATATTCAACAATTTACCCGGTAAACACTAACTATGATAAAAGTCGTTGCATTCACTTACCGGGTAAGACTCTTGGTACTTGTCTAGCTCTTACTTTTTTAGTCTTTACCCATATTCATCCGGCAAGGTAATGTGACTTGATAAGCGTTTAACTGACTAAGTATTTAGTAAAAGGTCCCTTAATGTCTTGCACATACTTTTTTCTAATTACGCAAAAAAAGTTGAGCCAACAATATAAAAACTAAATGTAATTAATGCATGCGAATGATGGCAGCCGGTTCTATCCAAACCGTTCAAAAAAAATTCAAACCATAGACGAGAAGAGACCGAATGATTTAACAATTTTCAGATCGAACCGAACCGCTTAAACTATAAAAAAGTAATTTTGTTTAACTTAGTTAAACCAGTTTGAACATTATTATTTTGAACACCCCTGTTGCAGATTCTATAGCAACATTAGATGTAAAAACCATTTTGTGGTTCATATATTTTTAGAAGTTCAGTATTTTTATGGTCCAAATATCCTCTCATTTTTAGTAGTTTTATTTTATATATATATATATATATATATATATGTGTGTAAACATGTGTTAAATTTTTATAATTATCCATAAAATAATGAACAAGTAAAGTTAGACATTATTTTTGTAAATAAATAAAATGGAAAGATAAGGTAGTTATAAGAATCTTTATCGTAGAATTTTATGTGTGTGAAGATGATACGACAAAAAGAAAAAACAAGATTCTCACGGGAACCTTTATTGTGATAGGTCTAATTTATTTGAAAAAGAAGACGCGTGCCAATTATATCAAATGAAACAATTTGTGAAGACATGTAGTTGATAGTCGATATGTCCATTAATTAGGAGAAGACTCTCGATTAGAACATGTGAGAAAAAAAGAACTAAAGGGGCGTTTGGTTCGCATAATGGAATTGGATGAAATTGAAATTCATCAAAAGAATTTGACACTGAAAGAACTGGAATGGAATTTGACCCCACGTTTGGTTGGTAGGGATTGAAATAGAATCTCTAAAGGCGGGGTGGTAGTTGTGAAGACGATAGTAATAGCATGGTAGTCGATATGGTGGCCCAACGGTAGCTATGATGAAGACAATATTGGCATGGTGGTCGGTGGGTGGCTAAGGGTGGTTGGCGAGGTGGTGGTTGTGACGACGACAGTAGCAACATGGTGGTCGGTTGGTGAGGTGGGGGTGGGTGACAGGGTGAGGGTGATAGTTATGACGACAACAGTAGTGACGGGGTGGTCAATGGTGAGTTAGGTTAAGGTGGGGTGGAAGGCGGTTGTGACGATGACAACAATGTTGTGATGGGGGTTAGGGACAGGGTCATGGTTGTGGTGGAGGCAGGGGATGTACGGTGTTGGTTTAATTGGATGCAAAGAGATATAATTCAATTCCTTCACTTATGCCAATAAATGATAAATTCTTTAATTTGTAGAATCTAAAGGATCCCATTCATTTCAAAGGAATAGATCATTCCATTTCCCTTGAAATCATTGGATTAAATTAACCAAAAGAAACCTAATTATCGAACTAAACAACATTCGTAAATCATATCAGTGAAACACGTGGTAAATGTCTTTCAAACTTAGGACAACCGTTAATTGACTTAGAGGTTTACCATAGATCAAACGATTATTCTGATAACAATTAATTATTCGCTAATGAGATGGATGGCTCTAGCTCAACGACTGCTAAAACCATTGATCCAATTTTCCACGATATGTGGTATGTGTATCTCACAACAAACAAGATCTCTACTGAGGGAGGCTAAGAGAAATACGATAAAGGTCCAAATTGAAGGGATATTTCTGAGAGTCGTATTGTAATATAAATTCCTTACAACCTTAAATTTAAAATTGTCGGAAAGATATGTGAATCGATTTTAACTTATTCAAGATACTAATTTATCTCATAATATACCAATTCTCTGTAATACCTAAAAAATCTTAATTGATCAATTGCTTATCATTCCATTCAGTCACTTCTAACTAATTCCCCCTTTAACTTGTGTCTTATTTTAAGATGGAAAATTTTGTATGATATAATAATTCCATGAAAATTGTGATTTATATAAGTTTTGTTTTCTTAAAAATGCAATAAATAAATAAATAAGGTCCGTTAGCTTGTGGTCAAGTTCGATCCTGTTTATAAGTTGGGTAAAGGGAAGTTATCAATCCCATACAAAAGGGTTCGAGTTTGCTTATTAGGTCTGTTGGATAAAAAATAGATTAGATTAGGCCCAAGATCGACCCCAAGCCTGCAAATGATCAGTTTCTACTTGAATGCTTTGTTAATGACATCTACCATCTCAAACTGTAACACCCCTAAAATATGAGATAATTTAAAACGCAAACACAAAGGGGAAATTAGTACATAGATAATAATTTCATCCAAAAAATGGGGACCATGTACTGTTTACATAAAAAGAAATGATGATAACTAACAACCTACTAATTTAAATCAAATCTAAAAGTTTGGATTACAATCTGGTATCACTACAATTACCAAAAAAAAATTTATTATCTCAATTCTCGAAGTATCATCAAAAGTCAATAACTCCAAGAATGCCTCTATCGGCACTAGAGGTGGCCAAAATTCGGTCCCGGACCGGGCCTTAACCGGTCCCTACCGGGCCTAATCGCGACAAAAACCGGCGGTAACCGGTCCCGACATAACCGGTCCCGGTCCCGGTGATTTTCCTTGTAACCGGTCAAGGTTATTAGTAACCGGTTGTCTCAACCGGTCCCGGTCCCATAACCGGTCCCGACCGGGCCTATTCAAAAAAAAAAATGATTTTTTTTTAAATTTTTGGTTATTAATAAATTTTTAATATGTTTGTAATATGATATTTTGAATATGTTTTATTATAAATACATTTTACTATAAATACGTTTTGTTATATATATATATATATACACGTTTATAAATACGTTTTGTTATATATATATATATATATATATATACGTTTATAAAGACGTTTTGTTATATATATATATATATATACGTTTATAAATACGTTTTGTTGTAAATACGTTTAAAAATACACAATAAAAATACGGTTTATTATATATATACGTTTCGTTGACTTTCGTTGACCGGGCCGGGCCGGGCCGGGCCTATAACCGGTTACATAACCGGTCCCGGTCTTAACCGGTCCCAGTCCCAAAAAACGTCAAAAACCCTAACCGGTTCATAACCGGCGGTCCCTCAACCGGTCCCGGTCGGTCCCGGTCCCTCTCCGGTCCCGGTCCCGGTCCCGGTCCTCCGTCGGTTACGGTCCGGGCCGGGCCCATTTGGCCATCTCTAATCGGCACCCATACCCCGCTCAAGCATTTGTGATCCCACCACCTAGAGATCCTGATATACATGTCATTTAAGAAAAATTGTTAGACTTATGCCTAGTGAGATCAAACAGTAAATAAA